TGCAGAATTTTTGCAGAAACTATACATTATTGCAGACGGAATTTACCTTTAATCACCGCAGAAAATCATCGTCCCTGCTCCTGAGCCAAAGCCGTAATAATAATCTTATCAAAGGGAGCAAATTCTTTTCACTTCTTTACCATCGCCAGGCTTAAGTCATATGACTCTATAATAAAACCTTCCGAAAATTCAAATTATTCGCTAAAAATTTTTTTTGCAGGTCCCTGAACATCTAGAGTTAGAAAAGAATAAAAAATATATATGCATGTATAAGAATTCGGACAACAATTAGAACATTTCCCATTGAAAAACGTGGCTGAATCACCCATTGTATCCATTGTATGCATGTACTTTTTATTTGAATATCAAGTAAAAAATATTCTTACGAAAGAATACTTAATATCGGCGATACTTTTGAACGTCCTTATAATTTGCGTAATCCCTTTAAGTTATTCCGATCCCAAAATACGTGGTGTGACAACTAACTGCTTTTACAATTATATATACTGCTTATTGCAGCATGGCGGACATTTTGTCACTCTGCGACGGCTGTACTTTACATTTTCCTTATAGTTGCTTGCGCAGCTTTATTGACCTAAAGTTTTGGTGATTAATTGTAATTTCTTTGTTCTTCATTAATAAATATTTTTTGTTCTCTCAAAAACACATCTTCATCACTGCAAGCAACGCATATCCTGTTAATCACTACCAGATTTATTTGACATATTGTTAGACAATAAAATTTTATGCAAAATATCATCTGAGGCTATGTATGTTACAAGGGTAATGCCCGGCTTTTTCATTTAGTTTCCAAAAGATGGAGAGTCCCGAAAGCTTCTGCATTTATTCAATTTTTTATTTTTCATCTTCAATGACAGAAAATGTGAAATAATCATAATCTGAAGTACATCCAACCACCGAAAGAAACCAAGAAATTATACGTACATTATATATTTAAAAAAAGAGAAAAGGTAAGGAAAAAAAAGGAGGGGAGATAAAATTTACGTTACACAAATATTTTTAAACAATAGAATAGAAAAGAAATTTATATAAATTCTACAAGAAACTGAACTTCAACAAATTTACATATATATAAAAAAACCAAGAAAAAATATAACTTTTCTAAGTTATGATAAAGATATAATATTGAATTTAAATATACATATAATAAAACCCACAGATCTATAGAAAATGAATCCTATAATATACTTCCTTTTTGTTATGTAACAATATCCCTATTTACTGCCTGCGCGAAGTCAACGTCACATCTAATCTTTAGTTTTGTCCGCCATTATGTCCGCCGCCACCTCCTCCATTATGGTGGTGGGAACCACGATAGTTATTGCGATAGTTACCACGCCCTCGGCCACGTCCTCGAGCACGACCTCGATAATCATGATAATAGGATCGATAATCTTCGGCTCTCTTGATCAAAGGCGTGTTCTCTCCCAATTTCTAATAATACAATTGATTAATATGTATCAGAAAAAAATTCAAATGTTCATTTAATTCATCAATATCGGTATTTACCTGTCCGTTAAGGTTAAGGGCTTTTTGTAGAGATTCTTCGTCCCGAAAATCAACATATGCAAAATTACGTTGAATTGAAGAATTATTTTTATCAAACACTATTCTCACCTTCTCGATCTGGTATAAAAGGAAAAAGATTTAGTAACTATTGATGCACCCACTATATGTATAAACCATAAGATTTAAACTTACTCCATCTTTGACCGAGGAAAAGAACTCCATAAGATCGTCTTCCGTAACCGGTAGAATATTCAATTTGCTTACGTGAATCGATAGTTGTTGATTTCGCTAAATTTGATCAAGAGATATTTAAAATAGTATCAAATGCGTTAATCATAATGAGAATATCGTTCGTTCTCGTATAACAAAGAAATCTCATACCGCATTTCGCTGATTTTGATTATGGTTTTGACTTTGATAGCTTTGATTAGATTGGCTTGGACTTTGAGATTGACTTTGATTTTCACCTTGATTGAGCGACTCATTTGGGCTGGTTGACGAAGAATCGTCATCATCTTCATTGTGAATATCATTGTTATTTCCATGTTTAGGAGATTCTGAACGATGATCTTCGGCATAGTGATTATTATTATTGTTATTATTATATAACAACTTGTCTGTATGATCCGCCCAAGTTTGCGTTGGAGGGATATTGTGACTGGTATAATTATTAATTTCTGTATAATCATTGTTACTCTCATTGTCATTAAAGGTATGATTATTGGTGGTGGTTGTGGCGTTAATAGTATTATTGATGCTAACGGTGCTACTGTTCATATTAATGCTGCTATTTGTTTTGGTTTCCGGGTAATCATTTGGAGACGGTGTTCCTCTTCGTGAAGGAGTTTCATTTGGAGCAAGTAATGATGGTGCATTACGGTAAGTATTATTGTTTCCGACTTGATCGTTTAAATTTGCAGGCGACACAGCTCTATTATTTATCTTATGGGGTGACGGTGATCGCATCACTGGTTGAACTTGAGGTGTGAGCGTCTGCCATTGTGATGGCTGGCGACGACTAACAGGATTAACAGAGCTTGGACTCTCGGGGGTTTGATTAACAGAGTTTGTTGTTGTGCCGCTTGGACCATCCACCTGCGCATTATTTCGACGGTGTGAAAAATTGAATCCTTGTGATGTGGTTTCTGCTGATATCCGTCCGTCATTGACGTTTAATAATAAATGTCCGAATGCTGCATCGGGTAAATTAAAATTCCATATATTCTTGAAAGCATTTTCTTCTTTATCTTGAGCCGGTACCCGGTTAACTACGGCTAATGCATTATCAAGCAATGCTTTTTGTGCATCACTTTTATGTTTGGTATTAAGTGTAAGAAACATATGATGTAAGAACAATATGTAATAGCCATCACAATATTTCCTGCATTCAAAACATAACAATAACTTACTCGACACTATTTTCTACTTTCTCTTTAATGGAATTATACATTTGATAAAAACTCTTTCGTGAATTTTCTAATTTGCTTCTATAATTCTCTTGGTCACATTGTACTGAGAATTCGTTGTATGAAACACAGTAACGAAAATGCAGTCCAGCTGAGATAGTAAAGTCCGCCTATCAACATATTATTGAGAAAGATTAGTTGAACTCTTATGTTGTATGCAAATATGAAATAATCACCCGTAGAGCGAGGGCTAACTGAGAAAGCAATCCAATTAGACCGGGACTATTATGGGTAACAAGAATTCTGGTCTCGGTAGGATGATAAACCTGTTTAATTGAAAATATCATGTTTCAATCAGCACCGTTCTCGAATGAAAAGTAACGCGCTTGCGCAATACATACCCTGTGAGCTGTATCGACCAATTCACCAATTTGTAGAGCCGTAGTCCACATTGTACCACCACCACCAGCAATTGTAGTTGTTCCTAAATTCAAAAATAGTCAACGTGATGGCACCATCATAAGTCATTCAAAATAGTATTCCATTTAAAAAATATTTTATGTACCTTCTCCGTTATCGAATAATTTATGCGACACAACAGCACCTCCTAATCCAAAAAGCCGCAAATTCACATTTCCTATACTAATGAGAGCCGAGTTTGATTCGTCTAATATATGTAAATTTGGAATATTGTATTTTTTCGATCTAAAGTTCTCGAGCACCCAAATGTCTTCACATGATCCCCAAACAGTGTATACGGGAATTTGGAGTTTCAGTTTCCCTTCAAGAAGCAGAGGAAACTCCGAGATAAGTGGGGTCTCTGAAGATACAAGTTCACGTCGTATTTCTTCTGTGGTAGTATTTGAGTCCAGGAGGACCGCACGCTTTTCGGGAGGCATAAGATTGCTATATTGAATCAGATAACGTAATGTTCTAAAATCAAAGAATATTGTTGAGTGCGTCTATTTTTTTTTTTTTTGAAAACTCGATGCGCGGATTTTATAAAGATTTGAATATATATATATTTTTATATCACACCTTGAACTGGTGATTCTCTCCAAAGTAGACTTTTCTAAGAAAACAATAATTCATAAAGTAAAAATCTAAATTTTAAAAAAAGATTGCAATAAACATTATCACCCACCATAAAATCCAAAATCTCCAGTATGTATCACGTATTTCGCACCCGTCGTTTCAGCGAGTGTATTCAATTGTGAAATATTACCTGAAAGAGAGCGAGAATTTAAATAAGTTGAGATAGAGATTACGTGTGAAAAGAAACAGACCAATAAAATAGCTAAAACTCGCCTCTGATATCTGCAACACACAAGATTTTACCACCTTCGATATTAAGTATTGTTGAATTGTTACTTATCGGTAAATTGCTAGTATTTATCGATATTCCATTAGGTGCCGGCGGTCGTGTAGAATTATGATTATTAACGTGAATTGAAGAATGCGGCTGCTCTGCAAAATTCGAAACTATAACGAGAAAAAAAATAGAATTACTTCATTAATTGACACGCATATTACTATGATTAATTAATCTTTCAAGAAGACGCGTATTTCGAATTAACCTGTTATAGGACCATTAGTTTGACTTTGTCCGTTCCACGTTGTAGCTGGTAATGCATATGAAGTTCCATTCGCATTCGACCAGTTGCTGGAAACACGTGATTGCGAGGAGGCAGAGGTAGAAACTGCCTGGTCATATGTGTAGTAGTCTTGAGGAGGAGCCATCGAAGACGACGAGATATTAGAGTTGTCTCTATTATTAATAGTAGTGGCAGTGATACTATTGATAGGGTTATCCCAGGCAGCGTTATTATTAATATTATTATTAATATTATTGTTATTAAATCCTTGTTTAAATGATAATTGTTGCTCGATGGGTCGAGCTTGAGTATCTGTCATTGCGGAACGAATGTCCTCTCAGTCGAAGATAAATGGTGACTCGAAGTTAACTTTAATTGAGAAATATATATTACCCAGTTAGTGTCAGTTGCCAGAGATGAATAATAAGTTTGAAGTCTACTTTTCGAATGAGTACCGTTAATGATGATAATAACAAAACACAAACTCATACACACTCGCACAAGGACTCCGACTAGAAAGTTTTGCTGGTGCCTATCATCACAGCAGAACAATAGCTTTTGATCATTTTGGGTTTGCGTAACCACAACACTTTGCATAATTAAAAAATTCCATTTTTTATTTTTTTTGGGGAATATCTTATTTTTTTTTTTACTTGCATCATTTATTATACCTATACTTAGGTACTTTTTAAACAAAAAACACGCTTGGTAGTAAACTATTATCGTTATTATTTGTTGTTGAAATTTCTTTCGTGAGTCTCGTGCTGCAAAACCAACCAAAGATTCTAAAATTGACAATTGAGGAACTAAAGCGAACTCGAGAAAACAGTTGGTTTCTCAGAGATAAATATAATCAAAATCTTTCGATACTACAGCTTGCTTACTAACCACAGCTCACTCTAATACGCATGAATCAGAAGAAAAGGATCTTAACTCGTAGATGGGGGGAGAGAGTAGATCATGTCAAATAAATCACGATGCAATGCTGATAGTGAATTATTATTAAGGAATTACCGAGAAATGCACCGTGCCTTGGAGGTAAGTATTACTTGATGGTTTATTAGGATTTTACTTATAGACGTGCTGTAAATGGTGATGATAACACGAGTCTCAGTACTGATATATGTAATATGCGATAATATTTTCTTTGATGGACAAAAAGTCAAGAATACACACCCCTACAATATATTACCTGAAATCCTAAAAACAAATCTGCCACTTTGAAATCCAATATCTCAAAATTCAATGATCCAATTTAAATGAAAATACTCCATTAAATTTGTCCCGACTCCACGAATCTTATGGTAATATCTTTATTTAAATGAGATCACTGGATTATGAGAAATTGGGTTCCAAAATGATAGTTTCATTATTGAAATTTCCGGTAATATATTGTAGGGGTGTGTATATACGTGAGAGAGATATATATATATGTATCCATATAATGTATATGCTTGAATAAAGTGCGTTTAAAAAAAAATGAAAAGCACAAACTATGTTATTTTTCGAAATCACTCCCTTTATCTGTTTTTTTAGCTTTTTAGCATCATATTAAATTCCGAAGATCATAATGTGATCACGTTGCACACTAACTGGCACGCGCAACCATTATTATATGCCGTAAAACACGACGCCAAACCCGCCATCAATAAAACTTTCGCGAGTGGTTCCATCATTACACAATCATCAATCATTATAAATTTTTTTGTTTGGTAAAAATTTGGCGTTTTAAGATCAACATTGATGACGATGCTGATTTAACATCTAATACCAATCATTTCGTTCGATTACTCACATCCATATGAGTGTAATACTCGCGTGACCAAAAACGTTTACAACTATAAATAAATGTGAGAATTTTCCCTTACCACATCTTTTATCGTACGCGCTTTTTTGGTATAGTCTTCGATACTCAGAACTTTTCTGTCAATATTCAAGAAAAATCAAAGTTGCTGCTCCTCTTTTCTGCAAACTTAAATTTTGTAAGAGTTGTAAAATGAAGTTTGGAAGTCAGCTTCAAGGTGCTCTCTACCGAGAGTGGCAAGAGTACTATCTTGATTATACTGGCTTAAAGAAGCGTTTGAAACGCGGCGAAAAACAAGAGGGAGGGTACACTGAAAAAGACGAGTCGGAATTTGTTGAACATTTAGATAAAGAGTTAGAGAAGGTAAAAGATATTTTAATATTTTTATGTTTCAAATTCGTCGTGTTAAAAAAAGTTTCTATCCTGAAAATGTTAATATTGGAATGAAAAAATATGAATAGATTTATGCTTTCCAAAACTCGAAAATTGAAGAAATCAAAGACCGCGTACACCATTGCGAAAACGCGGTTGCCTCAATAACTCGGAGTCCTTCGATGAATGTTCCAGATATTTATACAGAAGTGGAGAACGAGATCAATGCAATCACTGAAGAATTGAATGAGCTGGCTAAATATGCTCGTTTGAATTATACGGGTATCATTAAAATTGTAAAGAAACATGATAGGTATGTTGAGGTCGATTCCATATCCCAAAATGTGGGTTCATGAGCTTATTTTCTTTTTACGCGTGTTTTTTTCCTATTTTAGGCGAACGCGATATATACTGCGTCCAATGTTTAATGTTCGATTAAACGCGTGCCCCTTCTACAAAGAGACTTACGAACCAATCATTGTACAACTTTCCAAACTCTATCATATTGTACACACGGAATTGGGCTATGAACAAGGTTCAAATATTCCACCCTCACCTGTTAACTTCTCTCTCTCCTCTTCATGGAAGCCGCCGACATTTTTACCGGACCAACGAGTAAGACAAAATCACAAATTCTGGGTTCATCCCAATAATATCATGGAAGTGAAAACGACAATTCTTCGACATCTTCCTGTACTCATTTATAAAGCTGCCTCGGAACCAAGCGTTAGCACGATCTACTTTGATAATCAAAATTTCGAGTTATATCAGGATAAGGTTGATCGTAAAGGGGGTGAACAAATAATTAGAATACGTTGGTATGGCAATAGAGAGACAACGAATGAAGCTTTTGTTGAGCGAAAGATTCACCAACAAGGCGAGGAAGAGATCAAGGATCGATTTGCCATCAAGGAAAAGTATATCGTTCCGTTCCTAAAGGGAGAGTATTCCATGCAGAAAACTATAAATAAAATGAAGGAAGCTCCCGTTAAAAAAGAAGAGGATATTAAACAGTTTGAAAAGCTGGTCTCTGATATTCAGAGCACGATACTAGAGAAAAATCTTAAACCAGGTATTCCTTGCGACTTTTTTCATTTAGATTAATTATTAAATAATCGTTAATTTATTAATGCTTTTCTCCTATCTATACGCAATCAATCAAAAGTCCTACGTACGAATTATAATCGTATGGCTTTTCAGATTCCCGGAGACTCGCGTTGTAGGATTTCACTTGATACAGACTTTGTGTCAATACGCGAAGACAATTTTGATGGGGTTCAACGGCGCAAGGATGGAGAATGGCGTCGTACAGATATAGAAGACGATCAAAATTCATTCAATAAATTGCCTGCATCAGAGGTTTCCAGGTTTCCTTACGCCGTGTTGGAGATTAAATTAAAATTAGAAGAAAATGAACAAGAACCCGCTTGGATACGAGAATTGATAGAGAGTCATTTGGTATGTAATCATACAAGTTAATTCCGATTCTTTTATTATCCTCACTATACTAACTATCATCATTAAATGTTCATATAATTAAAGGTTGAAGAAGCTCCACAATTTTCTAAATTTGTTCATGGTGTAGCCACAATGTTTACTTCACAAGCTCCGTCATTACCATTCTGGGTATGCTCCAATAATATAAATTTAAAACTATACCAATGATACCAAATCACATTTATTTATTATAATTTATTTTTCTTTTTAAAGTTACCTAATGTAGATAAAGATATTCTCAAACCGCCTAGTAATGTTCAATCAACATCATCAACATCACCGATGGTTATTCCATCAAATGGTCGCAATTCTAATAATCAAAATGATGATTTTCCACGAAGACGTTCATCAGCATCAAAACTCAATTATGTCGAAGTGGTTGTTGATAATGACAACAAAAGAAAGGGAAAAGGTAAAGCTGTAGACAACCAAGGACAAGAGGAAGAGCCTAACGAACGTACAGCATTGCTTGGCAACCGTAATGGAAAACGTCAGAAAACACGTGGATTTCTACCGAATCTCTTTGATTTCTTTAATCAAACATTCAAGACAACTGACACTGAGCCAGTCACCTTACCACCAGCTGTACGCGTTCCTCAAAAAGTGGAGACTCCGATTCGTGTGGAGGCAAAGGTCTATTTTGCTAATGAAAGAACTTTCTTCTCGTGGCTTAGATTCAGTCTATTATTGGGGACATTTTCAGTAGCATTGTTCAATGCTGGCACTAATGATAATATTGGAAGGTTCTGTGGGTTGTTGTATTCAACTATTAGCGTGATGGTGTTGATCTATGCCCTTTCACAATATCATAAACGTGTTGATATGATAAATTCGAGGCACGCAGGACCTTATGGTAAGCTATTAAGCTATTTCTGTTTATAATAGACGATTCGCGTCCTTGAAGAATTACTAATATATATTTACATATAATCTTTAACTTTCTCAAGATGATCTTGTTTTCCCAACAGTAGTTTGTTTTGCACTATTTTTTGCTGTCTCGATTAACTTTTTCCTCAAATTGGCACCGGCGAAAGTGGAACGTGGTGGTGCAAACGTGGGACAAAATAATTCAATTTTAATATAAATAGATATTTTTTGTATTTTAATATATAATAATTTTCTTTTTTTTTTAAATGAGATTATTCATTGTATACAATTTGTATTATGTCAAATATTACTATCTCGATCAAATTTTTCCAAACTCTTTGGCCAATTCTTTTGAACGACGGTCGGCAGCTTTTACCGCATCTGACACCACCTGAGAAAAGTTTCCTTTCTCCATTTGTTTTAATGCTGCCTCGGTGGTTCCATTGGGTGACGTGACGCGATGTCGAAGTTCAGCGAGTGATGTAGTTTTCGTGTTTATTTGTGCCATTTTTGAGGAGCCTTATTGTGGAATAAAGGATCAAAATTAGAAAGGAATCAGAATTGTTCAAAAAATTTTAAGTAGATTTAACAATAAAATATTCACCAACAAATGTTTGAATCGTTAATTTACTAGCAATATCTCTCGGGATTCCAAGATCTACAGCGGCTTGCTCTGTAGTCATACATAATAGATAATAAACTTCATAATATGTCAAATCGGTTTTTACGCTTCAATAATAAATGGTTTTGTTTTACCCATGACCTCCATCATCAAGAAACAGTAAGCTGGTCCTGATCCACTTAGCGCGGTTACAGCGTCAATTAAACTCTCGTCCTCCAGCCAAGAATATTCTTTGGCTATTGCCCCAATAATTTCTTCGGCTAGAACTTTTTGCGCGTCTGTCACATCAGGAGTTGCATATAATCCTGCTGCTCCTTCCAATATTAATGCTGGGGTGTTTGGCATGCAACGAACAATTGGAATACTCCGAGTAACTTCCTCTTGATTCGATATCACTTCCTCGCTCTCACTTTCTTTTAGAGGTTTGACAACACCAGTTGTTAACCATCGAGAAATGTCTCCCGTTCTGATTCCGGCAGCGATTGAAACCACCAATGGTTGTGTCCTTTGTATCTCATCACGTAACTCAGTTGTTACTAAACTCATGTTCTGAGGTTTGACTGCAAAGACCACCACCTCCGCCACCTCTGTTTCCTCCTCACCACTACGCAATTTTTCACTCTTCGAACCAGTGACAGCAGCGGAATTATCACCTTCGAGCACCCTTATACCTGAATAAGTATCATTAAAGTGAGCAGCGCGTGCCGGCATGGGATCAGAGATTGTGATTTTCTGCCGAGGAAAGCCATGAGACACCAATCCTCCGAGAATCGCTTCTGCCATGTTGCCGCCACCAATGAATGCTACACGCGGATAATTTTTGTTGGTTGAAGAGATTTTGTTTAAAGACATAACTGAATTATGCGAATTTTTAAATGCGTGAAGACCAAAAAAAAAATTTTTCCCCCACTTAAACATGTGTATTACAGTACATGCATAACGATAAGCGTTTTGGTCGCGTCAAATTTTAACCTTGCTTAGAATACTTTTCGTCTTAAGACTAAATATAACTACTACTTCAAGCAATAAAATCATTATATTTATGCTGTCCTCCAATTTTAACCATACTTTGCGATAATAAGATAACGAGTCAACTTTAAAAATTATATACAGTTCTGCAAATATGTTACGATCATTTCCAAATAAGGTATGCTAAAAATAAAGTTAATAAATAATGTAATTTTGCATGTTGAAAATTGATATTAAAAAAAGAGCCTAAAAAAATTCCCGAAAATATTGATTAGATATTGCTTATTTTTCACCATATAAGATATCAACGCGAAACATGAAATATAGGTCAACACGCGGATCCCCTAAATCACTTAGCTTCTCAGAAGCCGTCTTGGTAGGTCTAGCTGAAGACGGTGGCTTACTCATTCCTCACCACATTCCTAACCTTCCTGTCGATTGGCGTACAACATGGCGAAACACTTCTTTTACAAACCTTGCTCATAAAATCTTTTCTTTATACATCCCTAGCTCGGAAATACCCTCAAAAGATCTAGAAAACCTTATTACTCGCTCGTATAGCAGCTTCAAAACACCGATTATTACGCCTTTGGTTCAAATAAAGCCAAAATTATACATTTTAGAGTTATTCCATGGACCCACTTTTGCATTTAAGGATGTCGCTCTACAGTTTTTAGGAAATTTGTTTGAATATTTTCTGGAGAGACAGAACGCAAAAAAAAGTAATGCTGAAGAATTGGATAAAATTACGGTTTTAGGAGCCACTAGCGGGGATACTGGAAGTGCCGCCATTTATGGCTTGCGTGGTAAAAAGAATATTTCCGTATTTATACTACATCCTCGAGGAAAAGTCTCACCAATGCAAGAAGCACAAATGACCACTGTACAAGACGATAATGTTCATAATTTAGCGGTTGAAGGGACTTTTGATGATTGTCAGGTATAGAAAATGATTGCAAATTATGAATTTACTGAACGGTCGTGTGTTTAACTTTATTTGATTGCCTCACTAATAGGATATCGTAAAAGCCTTATTCAATGATCCCCTCTTTAAACAAAAATACCATCTTGGTGCAGTCAATTCAATCAATTGGGCCAGAATACTCGCTCAAATAGTCTATTATTTTCACTCATACTTTCAATTACTTGATTCTTTAAATATAACATCCGATTCTCCTGATATTTCTGGCGTAAAGATACATTATGTAGTGCCCACGGGAAACTTTGGCGATATACTTGCAGGCTATTATGCTAAGAAAATGGGATTGCCGATTGACTCTTTGGTTATTGCTACAAATTCCAACGATATTTTAGATCGATTTTATAAAAGTGGTATATACGAGAATTCGGGTGTGGTTCAAACTCATAGTCCAGCGATGGATATTGCAGTATCAAGTAATTTTGAAAGATGGTTGTGGTACTTGGCCTATGAAGAGACTGGGCATGACGAAAAAATACGAGATAAAATAGACGAAAGAGTAAACCGCGCAGGTCTTCGTGTTAAGGATTGGATGCATGAGTTAAAATCTGGCAAAGGATTGCTAATTGGAGATGAACTTAAAAAAATTGCAAGTCGTGACTTCAGTAGTGCCCGAATAACAGATGAAGAGGTATTGTTTTTTTCTATTCTAATCAAGAAGATTGGTGTTTTCTAAAAAATTGATAAAAATAATTATTAATATTTTTAAATAGACATTAGACACGATTAATCGTTATTACTCTTGCAAATCTAAAGACCAACTTCATCCGTATGTTCTTGATCCTCATAGCGCAGTAGGTGTGACTGCTGCGGAAAGACAACATGTGACTAGTGAAACATATCAAATATGTTTAGCAACAGCACATCCAGCGAAATTTTCCAATGCTGTTGGAAAGGCACTTGAAAATGTACCTTCTTTTAGATTTGATACAATCACACCTTCGGAATTTGAAGGGTTATTGGAGAAGGAAAGGCGAGTTATTCACATAGTTCGTGCTGATCAAGAGTTAGTAAAAAAGATTATAGAACGCGAGTTAACAAGTAATTAATTGATTGCATAAAAAAATTATTATGTATAAACGACTGATTAATATAATTTATTTTTAAAATTTATTAGCAAACAATAATACCAAGACATCGACTCCTTTAATTGGCAAATTAGTAGACACTTTAGATTTTGCTGCCAAGAAACATTCTTTTCAAAGACGTAAAGATCCTCAACAAACCCGTAAGTTTGATCATGTGATTAAATAATTATCAAGAAGCATCACTTGGTAATAGTATTTGCAACCTAATATTTTCTCGATCTCAAAGCTTACATAAATCATCCTATCGGTGTTGCTAAACTCTTGATCGATGCCGGAATTAATGATCTTGCCACTATACAGGCAGCTATTTTGGTAATTATCTTGAGATCTGTTAAAGAATTTTATGAGATTTGTACAATTCAATTAATAAATATCTGTACAACAATGATGTCTTCATTAGCACGATACAGTCGAAGATACTGATACGACATTCGAAGAGGTGTGTTTTTTATGCTATTATATCTTGCGTAATATTAAAACAATTCTTACCTGCTATTTCCATACTGCTTCAGCTTGAATTACATTTTGGAAAAGAAGTAAAAGACATCGTAGAAGAATGCACTGATGATAAAACCTTGCCAAAATTAGATCGCAAGCGTCTACAAATCGAAACTGCACCACACAAATCAAATAAAGTAAGTAAATCGTCTTTAACGAAATTTGGTAAGATGATGATATCCACGACAATTCTTTAATTTTTTAGGCAGAAGTAATAAGACTAGCTGATAAATTATATAACTTACGCGATTTGGCTCGTGCTACGCCCATTGGATGGTCAATTCAACGAGTCCAAGGTGAGATATTTTCCTTTATTTTGCAATGTATATATTCTATGTGCTCTATATTTATGATGATGCATTTATAGAATATTTTGTTTGGGCTAAACAAGTCACAGATGGTAAGCATTTTGCGCTTTGGTATAGATTGAAAAATGTGGAAACTAAAGATTTTTTAGGAATTAAGGGTATAAATGAAAAACTGGAGGCAGAACTTGATGAATTCTATCGAAATGCTACCTTTGAATTTGAAGGTCAAATTTATAAGGGTCATCCTGAATATAGATGAATATATACGTAAACAGGTTTAAAATTTTTCAAATACAACAAACTTTTTTTAGTTATTATTTCATCGTATATTAATTGGATGTTTCCTATTTTCTATACATACCGTAATTCGCTGTATAAAAGATCTCCGTTGTAGAAGATATCCATATTATATACATGGGTAGGTATCACAGGTCGCAATATTGATAATAATTCTGATGTAATTTCCACGTGGGTTACATGTAATTAATTGAGTTAATGTACGAGAATTAAAAATAATGAAACAAAATCACATATGCTTGAAACTAAAAGATCAGAATAAAAGAATTTATAGACTATAATCGATGGTTTAACGCGCAATTCATCATGTGATCCATGTCCAATAGGTGCGTAAATTTTTGTTCAACCCTAATTAAAAATGTCGGCGGATTCAATTTTGCATCTAGCGTGACTAGTAATCAACAAATTTTTCCAACTACTAATAAGAACGCATAAATTTCTTGATCAACCCCAAAAAATAAAGTAAAACTAGAACCGTTAATGAAGTTCTGATCCGATCCAATAGAATAATTCGAATTGGAATAAAGAAAATTGGATTGAATTGTTTTAATAAAGTAATTTGGATTATGATATAACTTTAAATTATAAATTGGACTATATTATAATGATAGTGCTAAATTTATTAATTTTTATAATTTCATGATAATGTCAGTTTTAACTATATATAATTAAATATAATATAAATACAAATATTTATATAATGCCAGTCAAAGATAATGTATCAGTGGTCAAATTTATTAATAAATCATAGTAAAAATTGATTATAATTCATAGTTTAATATATATTTTTAATAGCTTTGTAATTAGAATAACTCTTTCAAAAAAATCTAAAAAAAATATATATTAAACTATGAATTATAAACTTTAATTTGATATAAATAAAAAATATTAATAAATTATAAAATTTAATATAGAGAAAAAGTTTTAATTTTATTAATAAATTTAAATTTTGATATATTAACTTTTATAATTAAAAATATAAAAAATATTATATTATATAATACAAAAAATCTTAACTTATCAATCATATGAATTTGTTTCAATTTTATATATTTAATATAATATAATATTATCAAAATAACATAAATTTTTTTAATTTTAATTTTATAATTTTTCAAACTTTGAATCTTTGGCTAATCAATCAATTTTTAAAAATTATGTAATTTAGAATTATTTAATTAGTATATTAATTAATTTTAATTATATTTCAGTTATGATTTAGCAATATTTTAAGAATTATAAATATATAATTTGCTTAAAATTAATTATAATTCAGAAATAATTTATTAATAATTCAGTTATATTTTAGAAATAATTCATTAATGAATTTTATTTATTTTTCTTTATTATTTTTCTTTATAGAATATCTATTTTATTATTTATTATTTATTTTTAATTTTATTATTATATTATTTTTTAATTAATATATATATCTTATTCTTTAATTTTATTTATTAATTTATAATTTATTACTTGATTTTTGCTTTATACTTATAATTATATACTATAGTTATAAATAAGTTATAAGTAAATGTAAGATTATTTTGTTAATGATTATAAACAAGATAAAATATGATATGAATAAGTTTTAATTTTATAACTTATGATT